GAACGGCCAGGTCCTACGAGACTATGGTGAATAGGGCGTTTTCAGCACTGTGTGCCACTAGCAGCCCCGCATGCATAAGCACAGAGCATTCAGGGAGCATTCGACCAGTCTCCATCCTTGGCCGGGATGAACTTTTAGGTGCATATGAAGCTCAGAAATGTCGTTTGCTCCGCTCATTTCGTGAATTTTGATTGCTCCAAAGAGGCCTCTTGTGTGACACGGCGAGTACATAGGCTGATGGCCTGTTGGTCCAGGTTGGGTGTCACGTCCATGTGCCTGGGCAGCGGCATGGGTGCCGCCTCCGTCATCGAGCTGGAGTGAGGATGATCCCATCCATCATTTTATTGCATGATTTGTTGCACCTCTCTGGAGCTCTCAGAAAAAAATGTATCTACCTGAGTCCAGCTTGTTTGTCCATCACGTTGAGACGAAGGAGGGGTCCTCAGGGCCTTAAGCGCAGAGGTGTCCTGTCAGCCGGGAGGGCTCTGTGCTGTTTTGTGAGGCCTTGTTTCAAGTAGCCTTGGTGCGCGACATTGTGCAAGGGGCTGTGCTCCGGGTGCGGAATCCCAGAGCCTGGTTCTGCGACTCCGCTTGCGCTCTTCACGTTTTTGGACACCAGAGAGTCTGTAAAGAAGAGGAAGTGCCCATAACTCCAGTCAGAGTCAGAGCTCAGAACTCAGCCTGCGTTTGCACCATGGAGCCACAGTTTCAGCCGAAACGCGGGCAAAAGCAGCGCTTGCGCGTAGACGTTGAATCCTGGAAGGCTGCCAGCCTGGAAGTTTCTCAGCTTCAAACTGTCCTTTGTTGCTGCCAAGCAGTGTCCAGACGTTCCCGTTCCTAGCTTTGCGTGATGCTTCCAACTTTCGAGGACTTCCCGACATACTCTACAATTGCTCTTGATCAGGATGGCGCGGATTCAAGGGAATCTGCTCTTTACCTGAGACATCCTTAGACAAAGTCAACTCTCAGACAAGCCCAAGTCATGTCTTTGACTTTTGCTTTATCGGTGGCTTTGCTGTGAGACTTTGTGCAGGCAACCTCATTTCAAGCATCCATTGAAGCAACGACTTGTACTATTTGGTTTGAGTATTTGATGAGGACAATAGTAGGTTTTATGTATCAAGCCTTCATCACCATTCTGCAGAACCCAAAGTCGTGAAACTATACTATACTGATTGCAAGGCTAACACTTGACCAAAGTTGGCAAAGTTGGCTGCCCAGCATTGCCCTTTGAATTTCGGTGGCTCTCTAACGCGCTGCGCGCCTTCGGCCCGAGACCTTAGCATCGCAGCCCTTAGCGTCGCGCCTTCGCCATGAACCGCCTGCAGCGCATCGCCGGCCATGTGAACTCGGGCATGGCCGGCCAGGAGCTTTACCTGGGCGACTCGGCCGAAAGGTGAACGGCTCGAGGCCGGGGAACACCTACCCCTCCCACGTTCCTTTGGCACCTGGGACATAGGCGAGAATGGTCCCTCCAAAAACAACTTATCTTTTGTTGCAGGCATGACTATGTTTTTCAAAACTCCACAGCAGCATCCCTGCTGTTCAGCTGTCGCCATCAGAGTTATATAACTTGCCGAGCTCACACTGGGGCTGCTGCCTTTTTGCGTTCAGTCCTTGCAAGTTTTTTGCCGAGTTCGCCAAAGTGCGAGCTTTGCTTTCATGTCTTTGCCAGGTTTTATTTTTGGACCAAACAATTTGGCTCACGGTGTGGAGAGGTCAAATGTTCTGCAGTGTGAAGGGCAATGTAGCTTCAATACTCCAACTCCCTGTGCAGTAGTGGCGAGTGTGCGCCACTGTCATACTTCTTGCAGCCAAGAATCTTCTCACCGCGTCGACGTGAAAAGAAGACTCTAAGACCCTCGGGACAATTCTGGAGAACTCAGGCGTTCATGCCTCCACCAGGCATGGCAGATGTGCTTTCAGAAACTCAAAACCTGAGGTGCCCAGCCCACCGCCGCGATTTGCACCCCAGAGAAGTCTGAGGCGGGGATGGTTTGCTTGATTTGGTCCCCCGCTTCTTGGCTCGGAGCTGCTCTACGTTGCCATGGAATGCCAAACCAGGGGCCTCCCGTCAGGTTCTATGCTAATGACGGGTGGGAGGGGAACCCCGACTTGATATTCGACATGGCTTTGTGTTCCAGGACTTGCCTTTATCAATGTTGTCAAATCCGATTTCGGATGTCCTTGCCTCTGGCTTTCAGGCTTCTCGATAGCCATGTTAGTCGCCTGTCAGGCAGCCTTCCTGCGCGATGCCCAATGACTTGTTTGTTCATAGCGTGTTATAAGGAAAGAGCCTCATGATGTATCTGCAGGATGGTGTCATGTCCATCTCAGTTGGATTGTGTGTGTGGCTGTCCAGTTGTGGTGATTTGACGCAAAGCTATGTGAGATATGTGTGCATCCTTTCATGTATTGCACCTTTGGCTTGATGGCCACCCCTAGATTGAGGGATTCGATGACTGCCTTTTGTTTCTGTTGGGCGCCTTCACGCGAGCGA